AAGATTGGAGAAGGAATTGTGCTGTGGCCATCCCCCCTGAGGGACTGATTTCTTGCTTTCTGTCTCTCTGGTGAGAGCACTCACTACATAGCAAAAATCTCTCTAAAAAAAAGAGTGAGAGAATAGGAAGTTCCCTCAGCTGGCCGAAGGATAGTGCTACAACAATTAATCTGAAAGAATCACAGGCCTCCTCCCACATTCTATTTAAGCAGTCTTCATTTTCCACAGTAGTCAATTTTCTAGACATGTCTTATAGACCTCAAAGTACTGAAAAGGAAGTTCCCATTGAAAGGCAATTTATCTTAAGATTCTGTAAGTGATACTAATTTTTTGTCCATTCAAGATATATGAATTGTGCTATAACAAATCATCCTGTCAAGTGTTACAACTGTCCATGAAGTTGAACTTTTGGGATCAAGAGAGTGTATTAAATTGATTCCCATCATACTTGGTGGGGCATGTCTAACTCAACTGTGAAAAGACACATCACACAATCACTTTGCTGCTGATCGCATGCCCTGGCATCACTGCCTCCACCACCCCCCCACCCTCCCCCACACACACACCTGTCTCTTCCTTTGCTCTCCTTGCAACAGCCCTTCAGCATGGGATGCTTATTAGAGTAGATGTGAAGTTTTCCAGTCACAGCCTGTGGGACTACTGCTGGGTGTGTGGGGTTCTTTGCCTGCACCCCTGGTTTCTTTGTTTAAATCTTCACTGATCCCTCACTTCCAAGGCAATATAACCTTGCCACTCTTTTCCTCCACTCCTTCCCTAGGCCTAAACATAGATCGTAACACCCTCCCCTCCCCTCTGAAATTGACCTTGGGTGAAGAATTCAGGGCTCTCCCCATATCTTCTCTCCCACACCTTTATCTAGGGGGGCTGCTTTTTCTTCCTCCTCCTCAACTCCCTTTCACACCATCACTACCCCATGCTGTTCATGGCACTGCCTTATGTTGGCCAGAAGCCATAAGGTGAGGTTGAAAAGAGTCTCTGATGTCTGTTGTTATTTTGGAACTACACTCAGTGCATTCTCTACCAGCCTGGGAAATGAGCGCCAAGCCCTCAGCCTGGCCACTTTCTCTGTGGTCTTTAGCCTCTGTGGTTTTTAGCTCAGGTTCAATGAGGTGAAAATAGCCCTTACCCTGTGGTTACTCAGACTTGGTAACTCAGATCTGAGGGCTCTTAGAGCCCCCAGCTGCTTAACTGAGAGAGAGGCCACATGAAGACACCCTATAAGCACACAAATGTCTCTGAATGATTGTTTTCTTGTCCTGTAATTGCTTTACTTTTTAAAATGTAAGACGTTTTCAGCAGGGCTCTACTCTGATCATCCTTCCAATCGTTTGGGTCTGGATTGAAAACTGACAACTGGAACAAAAAGAACCTTGACTTACGTGAGTAATTTGGCTTTGGTGCTGCTGCCTTCACAGTCCTCAGCAGGGACTAAGCAAGGACAGTACACCTGCAGATTCTGGCAGGCAGGACTTCCTGGCACATGGCTGTATGTGTCCAAAATTCTGTTTAGGACCACTGCATATTGACATGTGGGTGCCAACCGAAATAGAAGTAATTTCTTGTGTTCAAACTTTTTTAAAAAAATATGTATAGAACCACCTTTTGAAGCAGTAACAATTAAAAGTCTGAAAAGCAATTGATATTTCCATTCATCTCTTTTTCTGGAGAAAACCTTAGTCCTAATGATTTAACATCCTGTAAGTAAATTTTAACATAAGAGTATTCCATAAGCAGACTTTTTTATTGTCAGATCATTGCCTGATTTTAATATAATAAAATAAAATGTGTTACTAAAAAAATGGTGTCACCTACAAGATGTCATAGATGTCATTATGGCATACAAAATGAGATTTCCCATCCAGAATACACTGTATATTGGCTCAATCAAGCACATCAACATATGACTTATCATCAACAAATAATTTTCCATTTCTTCTTTCCTTTATATTTTGCTTTTCCCCCCATCCTTGATTCTGTATCTCTCACCCTCTGCTGTGTCCCACTCTCCTCCCACACTGTCTCTGGTATCTATAGTTGCTTTCTATGCCTTTCCTTTCCATTTTATTGATTTGCTAAAGAACTTAATTAATCTAAATATTTTCAATAGCAAGCGCAGCTGATATATACATACCCATGAACACAAGTCTGATTTTAGGCATAAACCTCAGTGAGTAGAATGAACATATTATAAAGAAGCACCTAGCTGGGGCTATAGCTTACTGCAGTCATCAAATAGGTATTTTTAATATATATATTTTTTAATTTCAAGTGAAACAGTTTTTGCTTTTTTTTCCTCCTGAAACATTTTTTAAAAATTAATTGATTTACTTTCATTTCCTAAGCATCGTCACAGCATACAAAATG